CTGCACACCTTGATTGAAGCTCATGTACTTGCATATATTTATCCCATGGTATTTAAACATGTGGCCAGTTTTCCACAGGAATTTGAAAACAAGCTACATGTATAAAAAGACGGATGTTTAAAGCCAGCAGCTCTATGTGGAATCATTTATATATTTTGTTTGCCTTATAAAGCTGATAAGCATTTTTGAAGATGCTGTGGCCGCACAGTTCCTAAACACCACTGAATTGCTGCCACTCTTCCTATACTGTATTGATGGAACTTGGGCTTTTTCCTTAAATTTGTTGCTAGAATCTTTTGTACTTTCCTAAGGCATGGTCACATCTATATATTCTTGTATTGTTGTTTTGCTTTGTTAAATGTAAACTCTCAATGTTCCATATTATTCAGTATGTCAAATGTTTCTAAGTTAGTAATGTGGGACTGACTTGGGGATTTTGACTGCATAGTTGCTTCACTTCTTGGCTACGTCTACACTGGCCGCCTATTACGAAATAGGCATGCTAATGTAGAACTTAGGAAAAGGCAAATGCACGGGGGATTTAAATATCCCCCGCGGCATTTGCATTTTCATGGCCGCCTATGTGGCCGCAACTGACTTTTCTGTGGGTCAATGACCCCTGACTCAAAACAGGTTCCCTGCCCTTCTCAGAAATAAAGACAATGCAGAAACTGTTTGGCTACGTCTACATTGGCCCCTATTACGGAATAGGCATGCTAATGTAGCACTTGGGAAAAGGCAAATCCGCGGGGAGACTCCTATTTGCAAGTAGCAATAAGAGATCCTCCGGAATAGGGCTTTATTCCGGAGGATCGCGCCAGTCTGGATGCTTTTCTCCGGCTTATCTCCAAGCCGGAAAAAAGCGGCGGCCATGAAAATGCAAATGCCGCGGGGGATATTTAAATCCCCGCGCATTTGCCTTTTCCAGAGTTCTACATTAGCATGCCTATTTCATAATAGGGGCCAGTGTAGACGTAGTCCTTGAGTGCTAGATCTCTGAAATTAATTTACTCTACCATTTTGTGGTACGTTTGTAGAGTTGCATAGATTTTGCAGGTTTACAGATTTTTGTAAAGCATTAGTAATACAAATGAAGCTGTTTAACTATTGTCTGTTTTTTAATTTTAGGGTGCAGTGTCTGGATCAGTCCAGGCTTCAGATAGACTTATGAAAGAGCTCAGGGATATATACAGATCACAAAGTTACAAAACAGGTAAGGTGCCCTACCTTTCTTTCTTTAGAAATGCAATTCAGAAGCTCTTTATCTCTTGGTAAATATGTTATGCTACTAGCTCTTTGGTTTGTACTTTAAAAAATGCTCAATATGAAATAATCTTAGCTTCAGATTTTGAAGTTTAATAGAATGTTCTTTAAGCATTTCACCCAAGACCAGATTAACTCTTCTGGGGGCCTAGATGTGACATTATCCGATTAAAATGTGGCCATACAAAATCATGGCTGTAACCACTATTATATAGCTGCAACAGAAGTTGCAAGTAGGGCACATGGCCAGAAAAGGTTAAACAATCTCAGACCAATTGACCCAGACTCAACATGTAGAGAGGCATGTGAGGAAAAAAATATATATGGTAACTAAGGCCATTCATTGCTAGTTAGGCTCGAACTTTTGAAATGCAAACCTGTATTAGCAACAAGAGGTCATACTAGTTAGATGTCTTATATCTATGCTAACTATATAAACTGATATTTCATGTGTATCACAGGAACTATTAATTCAGAGATGTACTACTAACATTTACATAAATATTAGGTGAGATAATGTCATTGTCAGGATGCCTTCTTAAAGTTCATGATAAACTGCGTAATGGATAAACTACCATTGTTTAATTATCATGTGGTTACATCAAAAGACCATTGCCAAAGGGCTGCTGGAGAAGTGTAAAGGACCTTGGTCCTGATCCTTTTTGTTTCACATCTGCTTGGATGCTCATGGGGAAAGCAGCAAGCCACAAGAAATGAGATCCCAGGATATCTTGGGGCCCCTTTAATAGATATTGACATAGGGTCCCAGACATGCTTGAGAATTCATACAGAGGAAAGCTTAGCAACAAGGATTGAGGTCCTGGTCATTGGTTGGAGTCACCCTAGGCTATGAAGATGGACTTTCTGCAACCACAGGATCACCACTTCTATTATGTAACTGAACCTCAGGAATTGAACTCATGTCTGTATGTATTTATATTTTAACCAATACACTCTTTTTTTCTTTTAAAATAAATTTTAGTCTAGTTAATAAGAATTGGCTATAAGCATGTGTTTGGGATAAGGTCGGAAGTACTCATTGACCTGAAAGGCAATGTGTCCGGTCCTTTGGGAGTAATAGAACTTTATTTAATTGACTGGGGTAGCTGGGTGATACCCTAAGGCTGGGTACTTTAAGAGAACTGCATTGTGTGGACTTCTCCTTGACCAATAAGGTAATACAGAAGCTGTTATGTGCTGGTTTGGATGACTGTAAATATTGAAATAATCACCAGCTCTGAGGACTGGCCATTCTATTTCTTGCAGTGCACCCTAATTGAGTGACCTCAGCTGGCTTCCCTGGAACCCTTTTATCACAGTGGTAACCCAACATGCGACTGCCCGAGTTTTGACTCCCCACACTTACAACCATTTTTATATGTGCAGAAGGGGCTGGAAACCCTTGATTTACATCTTTGGCTTGCATTTACGATTGCGCATGGCGCCTATCGTAAATGAGGGCTCGAGTTATGATGTCCCCAACTTGCGACGCTTCCCCAGGAACAGATTGCGTTGCAAGTTGAGGGCCTCCTGTAATCTGGCTAGAATGCACATTACCATTGGTTAATTAGATTTTTGGATCAGAACCCTATGCTTGTCAAAATTTAATTTTGATATTGGAGTGTTTAAGGATAAAAATCAGTTAGAATGGGTAAGCAAGAGTCATATGAAGATCCTGATAGAAAGAGCCGTGAAGAATTGTGCTCACAGAAGAGGTTGTCGTGAGAAAAAGGCCCCAGAACAAGGACTGAAATACCTGTTAATGACCAGTGAACCTTAAGGCAGGGGTACTGCCAACACAGATGCTGCAGAAGCAGTTAGAATTCAAAAGGCAGGAAACAAATTGCAACATGCATATGAATAAAAATGTACAGACATTCATTTACTAGGAAAGATAGCTAATCTGGAGAAAGAGGCCCACACAAGGCATGTGGAACGTACAGCTGCTGAGCAAACAGAATGCAAAGGAATCTGCCGAACTTTAGCTATGAGCATCCAAAGAACAGAGAAAGTCATCATCACCTGGAACTCCACTTCTTCACAAAAAGGAAAATTAGGAAATTATTAGTCCCATTTACAAAGATACTGATGATATAGAGGAATTTTTGTCTATCTTTTGAAAGCCTCTGAATTGTGCCACCGTATCTGGGAAGACCAGCAAATGCCCATCCTGCTGACCAGATTGAATGGAAAAGCCAAAGAAATATTTAATGAAATGGAGGAAGAAGGAGCCTTGGATTATGTGCTATGAAAAGATTCTTTAAGGCAATTCAAAATCATTCCTGAATCTTACAGTTTAATTTAAAATGTCCAGTGACTACTTTTGTGGAATGTGTTCATAAGCTGATGGGTTTTGTTAAAAAGTGGGTTGTGGGGGCAAAAACAAATGGGAATTTTGAAAAACTGCTGGATTGAATAATTTTGGCGTAATTTTTTGACATTGTTCCTGATCATGTTAGAGCAGCTGTATGTGATAAGGGAGCCTGAGTCAGTCTTTCTGGCTGCAGAGTTTTCAGATGCATATACCCAAAACAGGGCTCAAGAAGGGTATAAATCCCCTGGTAAAAGTAACAACTATTCACCCCAGTCTAAAAGAAGACAAGGATTCAGAACAGGGGTTGGCAACCTGGTGGCATGAGAGATGATTTTCATTGGCTGTCAGGTGGGAGCTCAGTCCTGCATGAGCCTCACAGCTGGCTAGCACAGTCAGGGAGTTGAACTGATTGGCAGGGGTCAGGGCATTGTTAAGCAGCTGCTAAAGTAGCAATACAAGGAGGTGTTAATGACTTAGATTTACAAACACTTTAAGAGACAGGTGCCTAATGGGAATTGCATTTATTTTAATTGACTTTTAATGGGAATTAGACTTCTGGGGTTTCTTGGAGTGCAAAGCAGGTTAGGCATGTATCTGTCTCTTTAGGCATCCAAATACTGCTGTATATCTGGTTCTAGATCCAAAAAACAAAGCTAAAGGCCCTGATGGGAGTTGTCAACCAAAAGCATAACTCATGATTTTTCCCTGTGTTACCAGAACTGCCTGAAACATGATGACCTATTTTCATGGGGGAAAACAAAGTATTAACTTATGAATTCATTTTCATTTCAAAGTGTGCCAAGTGGACCCATTTTTTCATTTTCCCCTTTTTCAAAATGTCCTGCATCTTTTCTATTCCCTGCCCCGCCTCTCAAAGAAGTTAGTGAACTTTTTCCTTTACAAAAAGCTCCTCCAAAAACTGCCACTAACTAGTTATAAAAGACTTTACATTTGAGTTAGTGAAAAGGTATGACATTTTTTTACACAAGAGGAACCATTTTGATAATGTTGACAGGTTGGGATGAGACAATTTTGTTTTAGAAAAGAGTCCTTTCCTGCTCCCTAAAAGAAATGTTTTTTTAAAAAAATTCAACCAGCTCGGGTGCATCTTCAGCTCACCTTAGTGCTACCAGGAGGTGTGTGTGCTCCACACCTTACAGTAGAGAGTTTTTAACTTCAGTGTAGACCTACCCGCAACATACTACCTCATAGGGTTGCCAGATGGTTTAACAAAAAATACTGAACCCTTCTCCCCAAAACAAAACAAAAAAGACACCGGGAAAAAATTCAGTTGAGGAAAAATAGGGGGAAAAAAACAAAGTTGTTGAGGACCCCAGGATCTCTGTGGCACAGGCAGGGACAGAATCCAATACTAAGAGCGGAATTCAACGTCAACCTTCCTGCAATCCTCTATCTCTTCTTGAAATCCCCTCTCTCATTCACTACACTCCTTCCAACTCCAGCAACAAATGACGCAGGGGTGCTACAGACAACAACCTCCTTCATTACACAATACTGATTCATAGGGTTGCCAGATGGTTTCTGAAAAAATACCGAACCAAAAAAAACCAGTATGGCCCCTTTAAGAAATGCTTTGCTTTTGAGGCTTTTTGGCCCTAACAGGCTGCCTGCAGTCACCCGCCATTTTGCCTCCATGTGCCGGGCCGGACAGCTCCCCTGCGGAACCTGGTAAGCACCCAGGATTTTCGCCTCCACCGGGAAAAAAATCAGAAAATACCCGACGTTTTAGGTGTGCGGTATTGTCTGAATTTTTTTTTTTTTTTCACAAAGGAGGTGAAAATATCAGACTGTCCAGTTCAGTACCGGACACCTGGCGACCCTACACCCAAGCACTTTGCTAATGAGCTGCTGGTGCAACACTGAGCCGAGCCCTGCTCTCAGACTGGAGATGAGCTCAGCATGTAGCTTGGCTCTTGCCAGTGCTCCCTGCCCATAGAAGGGATCCTGGGTCACAAAGTGCCTGAGTCCAGCCCAGCTCCCCTCCCCACGGCCCGATTACACTGCTCAGAGCAGGCAGGGGTCAGGCCGTGTGGCTACTACCAAGAGCCACCGCGCTGGGAATGACTGGGGAGGCAGCAGAGCCTGCTCTGCAAAGCAGCCCCCAGGGCAATGCAATGGCAGGGGGGGGGGAGGGTGGCGGGGAAGGGGCAGCAGCCATGGAGGACTCTGAACTCAGGCAGCAGGTAGGGTAGGAAGGTGACTCCCCCATAGCCTGGTCCTTGGGTGGCCCTGTGGGAAGAGGCAGAAATTCCATCCCAGTCAGTTTGGCTGAGAGCCCATGGAAGGCACCTAACGCAACCACAAAGCACCTGTGGGCTTCTCTCGTGGACTATGGCTGCACAACGTGCTTGAACAACGCCCAGGATCACGGAAAGGCTCCTTCTCCTCCCCAAGGCATCACTCCTACATCAGACCAAGGAGACGCAATCAGCTGAGGACTCCCAGTACCGATCACGGCCTCGCCTCCCCAGCCACTTCCCCTGCCAGGCTTCCATCAGGCGCCCAGCTGGAAAAGCAAATTTTTTTTACTGGACAGAGGGTGCAAAAAACGGACTGTCCGGTTCAATAACGGACACCTGGCAACCCTACTAGCTCAGCTAAAGGTGATGTGCGTA